AGCCAGGCTATAAAAGTGCCAGTACATCCAGAGACACAAAGTCAGAGAATAAAGACATCTGTCTCTTTGCCCAAGCCCTGTCCCTTGATGCCATGGTAGTGTGTTTGCAGAAGTTTGGAGAATCCATGAGGTTGGAGCAAGAAGAAGGGGAACAGGTTGTTGGAGTCTGGACTTTGTACACAACTAGTCCTACTGAGAAATGTCCAAATGTGCCTTATCCAGTGACCTCATCCTCTGTGTGGCTCACTGCAGCTTTAGGCCCTTGAGAAACAAGCACATCTAGCTCCCTGAGCTCTGAGGGATGTTATTAGGAAGTGTGGTTGTCATCAAAGGATGGGGCTGGGTATTGAGGGTCATTGAACTGGCAGGAGAGGTGATAGGAGAGGTAGCACATGGTAGCATTTAGATGGAATCTCCTAGAAAACAGGATGCAACCATCCTAATGGAACAGGATGCACAATGAAACTCCAACTGGGAGAAGCAAACATGTCTTTCAGTGGAGGGGAGGCTTCCAGAGCCCCTCTTATCTGTATGGAAGTTCCTCCCCACCCCACCATGGGTTGGGGGACATCAGAGTGAGGAACTGGAGGAGTGACCTTGAAGATTCTACCTGTAATGGCCTCAGACCTGAAGAACAGAATCAAGTTCCATGCCAGTAATCTCCTACCACAAAGTCAGTCAGCACCCCAACACATTTTTGTACAAACTATGCAGAAACTAAGACAGTGAGCTAATCAGAAATAGCTTAAAATCAATCCGAGAGACAAAGTTGTGCTGACATTCTTCATGTCCACACCCATACTTTCAACTAGTTCCTCTTGGATTTATTATCTACCCTCTACTCTTCCAAAGGAGTCCTGGTATGGTGCTATGGGTTAATGCGCCAGACTGCAAAAGCTATTTGAACTGCAAGGTCGGCGGTTCCAGCTCACCAGCTGCTCCTCGAAAGCCCTATACAAGGTCACTAAGGGTTGGAATCGACTCTACGGCACTTAACAACAACAACAACAACAACAACAACAACAACTCTCCCAAAGCCCAAGGGTCTTTCTTCTAGCCTTTAACTCTTCTCTGACCAGGGACCTCACTGCAGACAAACAGGATATTACTCACTGCCATGCTCTCTCATTTACTTCTACCCCCAACCCATCCTCCTGACACCACGCCTCCCAGCCCTTCCCAACTTAACCCACTCCCTCCTCCCCCGGTCACTCAATCTGACCCTCACTCTCACTCTTCTTCTCCCCCACACCACCCCACCCTTCCCTGTCCTTCCCCTGACTCACCTCCAAGTACCATTGACACAAACAAAAATTTCAGCACAACCCACTCCAACCGGTTTGGCTGAGGTGTGCAGCCTGCCATGAGGACAGAGACAAGGCTGTAAGCGGATGCTTGGACACACGCACATAATGAACATCAGTGGTTATGGACACATAGACAGTCACACACATATGCATGGCATGCATACATGCAAAAACACATAGGAAACCCATGTTTCAGTGTCTGTCTGTCCCAGTCAAGGATGGGGACCATGTTTGATGTGTCTCTGTGCCCTCCCCAGAGCCTGGTACAAAGTGGTGCTCAGGAAATGTCTGTCTGTTAAATGGACACAGGCATGCAGGCATGCAGACTGCAAATATATGTGCTGAAGGTGCCACCTTAGCTTGAATTGTTCCCATTCTTAGAGCTCAGAATGTAGGTGAGATAAGGGGAGGTGGTGAGGCATGAAGAGAATGGTGAATCAGTGAGGAGGAAAGAAGCTAGGATATCAGCATTGACCTCAAAAGTCTTCTCCCACTGTTATGAGGGGACTTCAAATCTTTCATACCATTTTTCCACGAACTTTTTGAAACCCGCTTGTACTTTCTCCCAGTCCCAGCCTTGGAATTGGCCTTTCTCAGACTTCATCCCAGCTGATGAGAGGAAAGGTCTCAGCATAAGGGAATGGTCCCCGAGAACATGACCTTGTGACACAGATTGTGGGAACAAGAGGGTAGAGGGATTTGGAGAGAGATATTTGGTAGATGAGGGAAACAGCCCTATCTCAAGCAAAGATCTGGGGTGACTACATGGCTCTAGTGTTTCCTCTTGGGCCGGTGGTACCCTCATCTCCCAACCTCTGTACATCTAAGCTTCGTCTGCTCTTTAATATGACCTGAACATACCCATGAACAAAGATGGGTTACATGCTGGCCTTAACATCTCCTCTGGAAAGCCCTGCCTCCCTCAGTGTCTGGAGTTGAGGATACATGTCTGAGGGCCCCCAGCCAGGGGTTCAGAGAAAAAAACTGACTGGCAATACTGCAGGGAGGTGGGTATTGCAAATGGAAAGGCTGAGGGAGATATGGGACCTGGACTCATACTTGGTGATCTAAATGCTTCCCTACCCTCATGCCTCAGTTTCTCCTGTGGTTCTTTGGTTCTAATTCATCAAGAGGGGTGAATCCGTGGGAAGGGAAGGAGCTCCTCTGAAAACATGCGATAGGATCCAAGGTGTAATAATTATAATTATAGCACAGGATGCTCCCCCCTCCCATTCCCCCCGGCCCTACCCCACCCCTGCCACAGTGGATCTCAAAGCAACATCGGGGCGGGGCTTCTCCTCTGGCACAGGTGGGACCTGAGTCCTGGAAGAGAGGAAGGGGCTCACCAATGTGGAGGTGGAGACACTGGGGAGTTTAGGCAGCCAGCCTGGCTCTTGGGGCTAAAACCTGACCTGCCACAGAAGAGGTCACTACCATGGTCATTGCTGAAAGTTGGGGTCTAGAGCCAGAGCTGGGGTTGAAGTCAGGGTCACAGCCTATGTTCAGGATTGTAATTCAGGGTTAGTTAGGGTCTTGGCTTCACTGACCCTACCTCACATTTTTAATACTGACATTCATTCATAAATTCTTGCCTTCAACAAAAATGTATTCTGTTCTCATTTAGTGTTGGGATATGGATGAATGAGAACAGCCCTACTTTCAAAGAGTTCACAGTCTATAACTTTCATCCTGTTCTCCATTTCACACATTTACTGAATCCCTGGCACACAGAAGGCTTCAATCAATGTTTCTTGAATTGAAACTTACAATTTAGTTAAGGAGATAAGATTGCACAAATTATGAGTGCATAAGCTATAATAAAGGGACTAGCAAAGACTGAGGAAGAACAGAAGAGAGAAAGATTAATTTGAGTAGGAGGAGCTAAGAAGGCTTCACGGAAGAGGTGGCATTTCAGGTCAACCTTGAAAGATAAATAAGATTTCTACAGGTGAAGTTGTTGGTAGTGGAAGAAAATATTCTAGATGGAATGAACCTCCTTCACTGGCCATTCTGATCCCTCCTTCCTGCCTCTCTCTACACATTTTCTTCTTCTTCTTCTCCCATGTTTAGAGATTTAGTTTCTAGCCCTGCTAAGAGATCTTGCCCCTCTCCTTCACAAAGTTATCAGGGGGTTCAGAGTCTGCCCCCTTCCTCTAACTATGCCAGTCAGGCTAGTAAGATTTTGTATAACTTCTGGTCACACTTCATGCATCTAAAACAGAAACACATGATCTGATAACCACGTAAGTATACTTATAGGAGTATTGTTGTTGTTGTTAAGTGCCATCAAGTTGATTCCGATTCATAGCAACCCTGTATAGAGTTTCCAAGCTGTATAGATTTTCTAAGGACTGGTTGGTGAATTGAACCACCAACCTCCCAGTTCAAACCAACCTTTAGGTCCAGTGCATTATTCCACAGCACCACACCAGGACTCTTGTAGGAGTATGTTGTTGTTGTTAAGTGCTGTCGAGTCGATTCCGACTCATAGTGACCCTGTACGGGGGTTCTGAGGCTGTACGGGAGCAGAAAGCCTCATCTTTCTCCCACGGAACAGCTGGTAATTTCGAACTGCTGACCTTGCAGTTTGCAGCCCGATTCGTAACCTCTACACTACCAGAGCTCCTTCCTGTAGGAGTATAGGGGCAAGGTATTTGAAACCAAGACTGTCCTTGCAAAGTCCAGACATGTGATCCCTGCCCAGACCCTGTGCGACAATGACCATGGAGATTATAGAAAGGAATCTTTTCCCCCTTTCTACTAAAGTTGGTCTAATTCACCTTTGGGACTCCTGGCCTGGTAGCAAGAAGGTGTTGAAGCTGAGAAAGTGGGATGGCTGACAGAGGGCCCTGATAGGAAGTCAGGAATTCCTTGTAGGGCTAGTTCTTTATAAGTCCCTTGACTTTTCCTGTACTGGGTTGGAGCCAGGGGGAATTATTTAAGCCCTTCTCAGGGATCTTTGAACTGGCTCCCTGCTTTATGGACAACCAATGCCCTAATCTGAGCAAACCATGATACTTCTAGTGGTGTGTCCTTGTGGAAAGCCCCTACCTCCTCTTTAGGACTATGTTTTCTCATCTGAATGATAAGGAATGGACAAGTACTCCCAGGATCCTCCGCAGTCGCAATCTGGCTTTCCCTGGTTCTATGGCTCCAGACCTGAGACCCTCCAGGTGATTGGGGAATGTGGCAAGGCCCCTCCCGGGAGGCAGCAAGGCTGGCTGGGGTGTGGGATGCTTGGCTTCCTTTCCACCCACAAGGGCCTTGCCCAGTTCATCCTGGCCTGGTGCCTCCCTCTTTGAGCCACCCCAGGCCTCTCCCGGGGCCTTGCCTCTCCCTTCTCAGCCCCTTCTAATCATTCTCAGGTAAACCCTGAGCTGAAGATGGGATCCCACCCCCCAGTCCTTCCCTCCCTACCTCCCTCCCTGGCGCCCATTAGCTAGCCCAGGCCGTGGGGGCGGTGGCTCCTGAGTCTCCGTGCCAGGCCCAGCCCCCGAAGAGGCACCTGTTCTGACCTGCTGAGCAGGTTCCCAGGTTTCTGCCGTCGTTGTTGGCCACGGCGTGGGAAGCAGCTCTGGGGAGCGCAGAGCTCCCGATCACGGCTTCTTGGGGGTCGTTGCGGCTGGGTGGGTAAAACGGGGCTGGGTCCCCTAGTGGAGACCCCGGTGTGATAGGCGGTGGGTCGTTTCCTGAAACTCTGTGACTTCCTGCCTGCTGGGCCGGTGCCCTCTCCAACTCTAGAGCCGGCTCCCAGGGAGAACTCCGCGGAACTTCAGAATCTCTTGGCAGGTCTGCCTTTAAATCAATGCCCCTGTCCCTGGGAGCCGAGATGTGGGGGCCTGAGGCTTGGCTGCTGCTGCTGCTCCTGGCATCATTTACAGGTAGGATTTGCCTGAAACATCAGGATCCTTGCTTTTGAGCTCAACCTAGCACACATACATACAAACACATAGACGTGCACACATGCACACATGCCCATTTTATTTCCTTTGACTTTGGGCAGGGGAACCACTCTCTCCCACCCCCACCTGCCAGTACTGGCCCCTGAAAAGCCAGTGTAGCTCTTTCTCTTCATGTCCTCACCCTCATCCCCCAGGCCAGCCACTGTGCTTGGAATCCCTACCTCTGCCAAAACCTTACCTAAGTCTGACCTGTCTCTAGGGGAGTACATACAGTGGCCCACCATAAGTGGACAGGGAAGTGGCACTGGGGAGGACCTCATTCACCTCAGGGTTTCCTGGCATTTCCTTCAGCTAGCCCCTGGGCTCCAGAGTTGCTGACAGGAGCTCAGGCTGACTCAGGGCTGAGCTGGCTTCAGCAGTCATCAGGGTGTAGGAAGTAAGATGCCCAGACAGTGGACAGGGCATTTCTCTCCTCTGTTCTCCTCTGACTGATACTCTAGAACACTGGGACTGGGGCACCTGTTTGGGAACCGTACAGGAATTGGACTTCCCTCACTTTGACCACTCCCTTTCCCTGGGCATACTATTAGCGTGGAAAAGAAGGGGCTATTTAGGTGAGAAGGGGTCTAGGGTAGGTAACTTCTAGATAGAGTGTATCTTTTGTTCTCATTTAACATCCCATTTTATTATCTAGACATCCTGCATTACTCCTTACCACTTCTAGTCTAATGTATATATACAAAACAAAACCAAAAAACCCCGACTGCCGTCTAGTTGATTCTGACTCATAGTGACCCTATAGGATAGTGTAGAACTACCCTGTAGGGTTTCTGAGTCAGTAAATCTTGATGTAAGCAGATTATCACATCATTCTCTTTTGGAGTTGCTGGTGAGTTTGAACACCAACCTTTGGATTAGTAGCCAAGTGCTTTAACCATGGTGCTACCTGGGTTCCTAATGTATATTTTAGCAAATATCAATTCTAGAAATGTAGTATCTTCAAAGTGGGGAAGAGTATGTGTGTGTGTGATTGTGTGTGTTCAATGAGGCCACGTTGAGATTCCATGGGCTGTTCCCAGGGGAATGAGCAACTGTGAAATCTGTTTCCTTGGGAAGACAGGGTGTTTGTTGTCTGGATCAAACAGTTGGATTCCCAGCCCCAGGATCAGTAACAAGGAAACCTCAGTTGTTCCGCAGGGACCAGCAGTAACTCCCCTACTCCTCTTCCACCCACCTCAAAAGGAGAGCTCTGATTAGGTTAGGTGTATGGGCTGGGTGGGGGTGGGGTGTCTCTCTTTCTGATCTTATAGTAGAGGGCCACTGATCCAGCCTTGAATCACAGGATTCTTAGGTCAAGAGGGTGGGGCCTGGCTCCTGGGGTCAGAGATCCCAGAAGTCACTTTCCTTTAGGATTTACCCATACTTGAAGAATTGAGCCATGGTATCTCAGGACTTGGAAGGGACCAATGAGACCACTGCTAGACTCCTTCATTTTATATATGGGAAAATTGAGGGAAATAGCTAGGAAAGTGACACCTGCAAGATTACGCATAGTCAGGGTTAGTGCTTGATCTCCTGCTCTCTAATTTATTAAAGATCAGCACATTTGGATGAAGCCAGGGTACTAGATGCTGGCAATGCAATTGTGACTAAGATATGGCCCCTATCTTCCTTTTCCACACACAAAACTCTTATTTCTAAGAGAAGTCCAGGGAAGGGGAAAGGAGATTCCCTTCTAGTTTGAGAATAGGCCTTGACTTGTCTAACCCTGATTGAGTTGCAGTGGACAGAGAGGAAGCCTTACTCCAGGATTGCTCCAGGAAGCTGATGCTGGTTAAGGGTCCATTTGTACATATCTGCTGCTGCCCTAATCTTCAGTGTAACCTGCAGTTTGACGTTGGGGGTTGGATCCCATGTTCGTAGCTAAAAGTACCAGATGGTCTCACTTGCACTGTTACCCTCATTCAGGCTTTCTCTCTGTGTGTAGATTTATCTCCTTAATGATCCCCAGGAAGCTGGAATATCTCATGCCTCTGAGAAAGGCTTGGACTGGGAAGTCAGGAGTCCTGGGTTCTGGCTCCATTTCTGCTATTAATTTGCTAGGTAACCTGGGTAACTAGGAAACTGGACGACAGTAAACCAAGATGTAGCACCTGATGATCTCTTTGGACTTTCCAGCTCTGAAATGCTATGACTCGATGATTGTCTGGCTCCTGGCTGAAGTTGGGTGCTGGGGTTCTGGAAAGGGCAGTAAGTCTGGTTGTGGACAGAGAAGGGGGAAAGGTTCCTGGCATTATCTCTCAGGACTGAGAGTAGCTTTCCCCTGGATGCTATCTTCCTGGCATTACTTTGGATCCCCCCACGCCCACCCCCCAATCCAACTCCTGGGCCATTAGGAGCTCTGAGCCCCAGGGCCCTGCCCCACCCCTGACAGGGAGAGGAGCCCAGGTTTGGGAGGTGCCTCAACACCACGGCTCTTTGTCTCTCCTTAATGGGATGAGTTTTCAGGTGAGGTCTCCTCCCTTTTCCCTCCCCCATCTCCTGCCCTGGGGCTGTGAGGCCTAAATCAATGGGATACCCCTTCAATAAGATCCTGGCCCCTGGTTTATCAGAGGACTGTGGGTTCCCTGAATACTGAGATCTGTTTTCTGAGGGTTAGGATTAGCTTTCTGACTGAGCTTCCTTTCCTAGAAAGGGAGGGGCCCTGTCTATGCTTTTCTACTCCTGTTTACTGAGGGGGGCAGGCCCTTTCCTATAGGACCTACCCAAACCCAGACAAGCCAGAAAGAGAAGCTAGCTTCCCCGCCCAATGTGGAGAGGACTGGGAGAATCCTAGGGAAGCCCTGTGGCCCCGTTGACCTTGGTCCCACCCTAGGACCCCAACCACAGAGATGGTGGCAAAGGGCTCACAACAGAATCCATGTTCCATCTTCTAGACCATTGCCTGAAGATGCAGGTTCTCCAGGCACTGTGAGTGGTGGCCAGACATCTGGGGAAGCAAGCCCACTGAGGAGAGAATGCCCAGTCTCTTCACTGAAAATGTCTAGGCAGAGAGAAGGCTTAGAGTTGGGTGGGGAGCTGAGTCAGGAAAGAAGGGAGTAAAGAAGTCTAGAGTCTGGATCAGGGAAACATAATCTAAAACGCGAAGGTGAAATTCAGAACTGGAGGAAGGCTGTGGAGGGGGCAGTGGGGATCACTCTTCACTGGCACAGAAAGCCTCTGGCCTCAGAAGCTGTTCCCATAGTCCTCTGAGCTTCCCAGTAAACTGGCTGTGTCCTGAGAGCTGGGGTTGACTCTGACTTAGGGTAGGGCTGAAGTGGCCACAGTGGGGGGATGCTGGCAAGATTGGGGGGGTGGTTGGGAGAAGTTGAATTCTGGTTCTCCCACCCACGTTGGCTGTTGTGGTGACTCAGCCAGGCTCAGACGCTGGCTCCGGGGGGGTTTAGGGGACTTATCTGTGCTGAGAGCTGTGTCTGGGCCAGAGCTGGGGCTGCCTCAAGGCCTGTCCTCTCCCATTGTTCTCCTCTCCTTTTGTGATTGGTGTGGCCCCCCTCCCCAGGCACTAATCTGCAGGTGGGCGCGTTGCCCAGGTTAGGAAGCTTTCACTAAGCTGGGGGGCTTAGGACAATGGGGGGTAAGTAAGGGAGGTGGATGAAAGTAGAGGGAGAAACTTCTAGCTTTCAAGGTTCCTCAGCACCCCAAGGCCAAGGGTGTGGAAAAGGACTTGTGAGGCTATTTTTGTCACCTGTCTTAGATAGGGGGTTTCTTTGCTACTGTCCCAAGTCCTCTTTTGCCTCAAACTCACACCGCACTCTGCTCTTTCTGGTGGAGGCTGTTGCTACCTGAGCAGAGGGAGGGAAGAGTTAACAAAGTAGAATGAGACCCTAGACAGCTTGGACCCCTCCCCCTAGCCCCAGGCAGAATCCCCCCTTCCCACCAAACCCACACCAGACAACCCTTACCCGGGGTCTAGAGCTAGAGCTGGTTTTTCTGGTGGTGGCAGCAGCAGAGGCTCTGACAGATTCCCAGGGAGAGGCCTCCTTAGGGGGCCAGAGTGCTGGGGGGCCTAGGGGAGTGGCTAGTGGGGGGATAAGGGTGGGAAAACCTCTAGTAGGAACCTGAAGAGCAAGGGTAAAGAGAGCTTTTGTTTTGTTCTGTTGGGGAATCTTGATGGCAATTTCCCATCACCTGGAGGGACAGTGACCTCATCTCTGGGTACCTCCACCTTGAGCCTGAGAGGAATCTGCCCTTAAGTCTTGAGGTGAAGTGGGGAGGGAGACTGGGTGGCCCTCCAGGCAAGTTGCAGATGCAAAGGCACAGAGCCACACACCACTGACCAAGGGCAGCCACGACAGGTAGATATGCGGAAGCCAAGAGAAACCAACATCAAAGTATTTACTATGAGTGCAGAGATCCCTGAGACAGGAATGCCCGCCATCCGTTGAGGCAGTGTGCACTGCACATGGAATGGTGTGTGTGTGTGTATGTGTGCACACATGTCCACATAGGCTCCATTGGGCAGCTTTTCTCTCTGAACTCTCCTGAAGATAAGTCATGCATACATATAGGTGCAAGACATTCCAAGTTCACAAAAGGAGACGATAGCCTCACAAGCATGTGAACCGGCACTTAGTTTGGCCAACCCTCACCCAAATATGTCCCTCCACTCAGTCAAACGGACTCATACTTACTCCCTTCTTCCTTCTCACAGACCCACCAGTGGACCCTTAGGTGTACCCCACACATACTAGCAGGGAGATGCTGACAACAAAACAACCCCTTCCTCAAAGACGCCGTGCCATGGCTAGATATCTGCACTTGACAGCCTCAATTTCCCCTCCTGAGATCAGAGTGCAGGCCTCACATAGAAAGTCTGGATCTTGACACAGGGTGGGGAGCAGCCCTATGGAGGGCCTGTCTAGGAGCGGGTGGGGTACACAAAGGGCAGGGCCCCAAAGAGGCCCGTGGCCGGGGGTGGGGAGGCCAAGGGTAGGGATCCCGTCTGGCCAGTTGGGCCTGTTCTCTTCCTTGCGCAAGCTGGTGGCGGCTGTGGCTAAGCCTGCTGTCGTGTGTGGTAGTTTCTTAGTCACCAAGGCTCCTGACCAGCGTCCTGGTGCTCCCAGGAGGAGGACTGGGGAGGGTCAAAAGGAGGAGCACCCAGTTAGCCAGAGTCCACCAGCCTCAGCAAACAACTTGCAGCAGAAGGGTCCTGGACTCAGCCTGACCTGGCTACCACACGCCCGCAGGGTGACCTCACCAGGCAGGCAGTGTGTCTCCTTTAGGCTAGTGACATCATCATGCTGATGCTGGGCCGGCCCTGGGTGGGGGAGAGAAGGAGGAAGCAGCCCTAGCCTGCTCTGGCCTGGGAGTCCAGGCTCTCCAGTCGGTTTCACCAAGGCAGGGGATTCTAGGGCCCCCATTCTCTTCTCTTGCAGCCTGTATGTGTGTGTGTGTGTGTGT